CCATGTAAATATGGGTTTCTGTGTGAATTTTCTCAGAGCTTCTCAAATCTTAATATATCAAAAGGGTTCTATGAAATACATTTGCAGTCCATGTCCATTAGTGCCCCTGTACTTCTCCTTTAATATAAAGGTAGGATAAACATACCAATGAGTACCAACTGTCCACAAAAATATCATACAAAAATATAACTCTGCTACATCTATGAAAGTATGACCATGTAGCTGAAGAACAAAATATCTCTTCCACATCTATGAGTGTGTGAACGTTTAGCCAGAGTCAAATGGCCACCCTACTAGATACATCATTTCAAATGTTAGGAAAATAGAAAACATCACCTGCTTTTCTGGATACTTTGGTGCAGATATCAGAGAAACAGCTTCCATGTGACCAAAATCTACATCATAACCTAGCATATAAATGTACAGCATTTTCCAAACATATTTCTTCTTTTCATATGGTGTTAATCCCTGTTGAGGAAAAAAAAAGATCAACACCTAACTGTATATTCATTGCAGAAAAAATCTAAGAAACGGATTGACAACCAAATTATTGTCTTCCTCAACTAGGGACAATACCAGCCAATCAGTTCAACTAAAAATCATAAAGAAAAGTACAAGGTAATAAAACGCAAAAAACTGATCAAACTATAAGCTACAGAAGGTAGTCATAATGGAAGCCAAGCAAATGCATATGTGAAATATACTTTATTCTGGTGTAAAAACCAAGCAATTTGTGTGAACTTGCAATACCTAATGATTGTTTTCCTCAACTAGGGATAATATCACCCAATAAGTTCAACTAAAAATCATAACAAAGGAAAGTACAAAGTAATAAAAGGCAAAATTGGATCAAACTATAAGCTACAGAAGGTAGTCAGAATGGAACCCAAACAGATGCATATGTGAAATGTACTTTATTTTGGTGTAAAACCAAGCAATTTGCATGAACTTGCAATGCCTTAAAAAGCACTAAAAGTTGGGCAGGAAGGGTCATTCAGAAAAGAAAATTAGGGATTTTTTGGAGCAAAAAAAATATACTTAAAATAATAACGCGCTAAGGGAGGTGCCACCAAGTTCAAAAGCTTTACAATTGTGCTAATACAACTATTAGGCCACCAAATCCTCGTTAATGAAAGAGGATGGTCCTTAAACAAAAGATTCAAAAACTGGAACTATAAATCACTAACGTTGTTTAAGTGGAAGAAAACCCTCAAGAGCTCCTCTATTTCTCTCCTTCAAATGACCTACATGATAACCAAGGGGATAAGAGAGGTGAGTTTCCCCCTGCACTTATCACCATGGACGCCCTTCCATCCCTAGATCTCTTTAGCCACAGAGCCTGCCATCATTCACCCAAACCAAGAGCTTCCATCCTGCACACAAAAGAAGGAAGGAGAAAGGACACCTTAAAAGAAGATTATCTGGTGTCTCAACAACCTCATTCACAAGAAGCACTGATTAGCTAAAATTTTCTCCATCTTTTGAAAATTGTTAATAGTAAGAATTCCTCCTTTCACTGCCTCCCAAGCTAAGACAACCGTTCTAGGAGATGCATTAGGCTTACAAAGAGGCTTCTTCCAAGGGAAATCATTGTGAGATGAGCAAAAATGAGTAATGTGGGTGAGCGAAAATGAGTAAGGCGAATGTAGAGGGATTTCACTCTGAACGAACTGCTAGTGTCCAACTTCAAAATTGGTTAACCATTCCATCTAGATGGACACTGACGAGGTTAAGTTGACCAAGGAAAGTAACATATCTCTCAACATCCTAGCTATTTAAATTTCTTTCAATTCCAACTCCAAAATTGGTTTACCATTTCATCTCGATGGACATTGACGAGGTTAAGTTGCAGAAGGAGAGTGACATATCTATCAACATTCTATTTATGTAAATTTCTCCCAGTGGCCCAACCCTAATAGAAGAGAGAATTTCTGACTCATAGTTGCATCTTTTCTTCTAGCTAGAGAGAAATATCATGACCTGTGTCTAAGCTTTGGTCATAGGTTTGATTGAAAGCCAGTCTTGCAATAGGCACGTAGCCTGCTTGTTTAGATTATCAACCTTGACGACCATAAATCACTAACTCTGTTAAAATGGAAAAAAAACCCTTAAGAGCCCCTCCATTTCTCTCCTTTAAATGACCTACATGATAACCAAGGGGATAAGAGAGATGAGCTTTCTCCTGCACTTATCACCTTGGATGCCCTTCCATCCCTAGATCTCTTTAGCCACAGAGCCTGCCATCATTCACCCAAACCATGAGCTCACATCCTGCACACCAAAGAAGGAAGGAGAAAGGACACCTTAAAAGAAGATTATCTGGTGTCTCAACAACCTCATTCACAGGAAGCATCATTTGGCTAAAATTTTCTCTATCTTTTGAAAATTGTTGATACTAAGAATTCCTCATTCACTACCTCCCAAGCTAAGACAACCATTCTAGGAGATGCATTAAGCTTACAAATAGGCTTCCAAGAGAAATCATTCTGAGACGAGCAAAAATGAGTAATGTGGGTGAGCGAAAATGAGTAAGGCAAATGTAGAGGGATTTCACTCTGAACGAACTGCTAGTGTCCAACTTCAAAATTGGTTAACCATTCCATCTAGATGGACATTGACGATGGTAAGTTGCAGAAGGAGCATGACATATCTATCAACATTCTAGCTATGTAAATTTCTCCCAATGGCCCAAACCCTAATAGAAGAGAGATGATCTGACTCATAGTTGCATCTTTTCTTCTAGCTAGAGAGAAATATCATGGTCCTAAGTCTAAGCTCTGGTCACAGGTTTGATTAAAAGCCAGTCTTGCAATAGGCACATAGTATGCTTGTTAGATTATCAACTTTGACAGCCTATGGCAATACTAGTTAGAAAGAATCCACTATCTCTAGAAAATAATCTAATTTTTGGAGTTAACTGTTGAATGATTTTATTCAAGAATAATATGGGTTTCATAAGGAGCGATAATAACTAACCTCGTGCATAAATGAAATACTGGGCTAAAAAGAATCCTATAAAAAATTTCACTGTACATCAATCAAGCCTATAGTCCGAATGTTACCAATCAACAGTTGAAGCTCATGTCTTTGTTGTGGAGATGATATACTAGACTTGCAATTTGATCCTCTTTCACAACCATAACAAGCACATATTGGGGAACCATTGATGTCAACCATCATCATACCATAATCATACCCTAATACCAAGGTTGACTCCCATCCTAGTCCAATCATAAAATTCATCCCACCCGGAATTATGTTTTTCCAAAGATTCAAACTATGAAAAGATCTAGACTACCTAGCTCTCCAACCCCCTTTTACTGTCTTGAACTTGGCGTTAACCATCTTCTACCAAAGGCCACCCTCAACATTCATGCATCTCCAAAGCCACTTCTTAAGCAAAGATTTGTTAAAGCAGAGTTCCAATTCCAAGTTGTACCTTAAGGTACCAATTTTAGATTGTAAAACCCTAAGACGAAGAGAAATAAAAGCTTACAAGTTCAACCTACTTACTGACTGAGATAACATATCAAGAATACTAATTTGAGTTTTGGCAGAGCTAATAATGATTATTAGAGAAACAATCCCAAAATAAATATTTCGATAATCCCCATACAAAGTGCACATCAAAATTGTCTAGTTTAGGGTCAACTCTAAAGAAAAAAAGGTTCTGCTATAACCTTGGGCATGCTAAAAAAAGCTGCCCTAGGACTGTAAATCACCCAATTAACAGAGGATGAACCATTAAGTAATCCAGCTACCGTCAACAAAAGTGCATGATGCAAGGCTAATACATATTACAATAAAGGAAAAGAAAATGGCATTTTGATATCATTTGCAAAAAATAAAATAAAATAAAACACACATGACACAGTATTTTAACTGTCACTATGACTTTTTATCAACATTCTTTATGAATTATTTGGCAGCACGATTATCAAATGTATTTTGTATTCCTTTATCAAATGTATTAGTGATGTTTGTTAGTTCAATAGGATTAAAAGTCGTGGTGTCTAACATAAAAGAAATCCATGTTGGCTCTAGAATGTCAATCTTCATGTTTCCACTACTATATGGACATGTAAAAAATAATCCAACCGTGTACCTTTTCCTTATTCTAATTTCCTTGGATATGCTTCCTACAGGAGAATAAGACTTTCTTCAACATACTCACTATTGAATAAACTGATGTAGAAAAAATAACTGTCAATCTAGCCATGCCATCAAACCAGGGATTGCCAGAAATAAATCAGTTCTAGTGAGACATTAGTACTAATTACCAAGCCATAATTTAACTCCAAATTCAAGTGCTTCTTTCCAGCTGCAGGTTCAAAAAGTTACGGAAAATATAAGCTCACTAAGAAACCAGGCATTAAAGCCTAGCAACCTAAGCTGAGAAGTGGCAAAGGAACTATTAACAATAACTTCATCATGACTTCCCAAAAATTAAAGACAATGAAGAAAAGGGACTTAGAATTAGCTAGATGCTGCGGAAATGCAAAAGCAGGAAGCAGAATTTCGTAACACTAAATGGAAAGAAGAAAAAGACATCAGTCAACTCCACGAAACCAAGTAGCCACAGAAGCTCAGCTAAGTCAACATATTAAGTATAGCCCTAATTTTATTTTATTTTCGCTTACAATTTCTTGGGACAGCCACAAATAGAAACAATTCAAGACCATTCTCATCAATTTCCTGAGTCGTTAAACCTTCAGCATTCACCAAGCACAATCACATTTGGAAGAACTAAGCCAAATTCAAGCGATGCAGATGAATAGACATTTCAAAGAAAATGGAGAGAAAAGAAAAACCCTAACCTTCTCGTTTTTGAAGCGGGTACGAACATTTCCAAGCTCCTTATCGACGCGGAGTCGCTCCTGCTCTTTGTTCTGGCAATTGCGGATGTCGCTGATGAAAACGGAGAGTCCCCTCATGCCCGTCATGGCCATTCACCTCCGTAGATCCACTTTTCCCCAATTCTCTTCACAGATCCACCTCTAGCTTTCCCTTCTTCTCCTTCTCTTTGCTTTGAAGGACCAAAAAAAGGGATCTATTGCTGACGACGAGTATCAACAGGCAACCGAATTCAAGAGACAGATCTCTCTTTCGGCCAATCCAACAAGAAAGAGAGAGAAAGAGAGAGAGAGAGGGATCAACTGTAATTTCGAACAAGAAAAGGTCCTGTAAATATTGAACGGAATTATAACTGTGATCTAGAGATAGAGAATTTATTTCCTTCTAGACAGAGACGGTGTAGACTGAAACAAAATTTTGTAATAGCCGTCGAGGACAGAGGAAGACGACTTTGATATTTACCAATTTGCCATTTTGATTTTGATTTTGATTTAATTTAATTTTTCCTTCTCGACTGTTTAATGAATTAGCTGGAATTTTCAACATATTTTCTGATTTCAATCTATCCAATACTTAAATTTTGTGTTTATTATATTAAATGCTTATAATTTTTTGAATAAATTAAATGTTTAACATTTTTGCATTGCTAGAAAATTGGAGTTGAAAATTTTTGTTGTTAAGTTAAGAATGTTTGAAAAGAAAAAATAATAAAATAAAATTTTAATATCAATATCTTCTATAACTTTAACTTTTGAAACTACTATTTATAAGAAGATACATATAATTTAGTTGTCCATAAGAGTCCAAATATGAAACTTTGTTATTTAATTAAACAAATTCCAATTAAACTAATGAATTGTCGATAAATAATCTTTAATAGCATAGCTTTTTCACTCTTATGGACTTGTGTTAATTTTCTGAATGTTCTCCATTTACTTGAATAGTTGCACTACTAAGAGTTTACGATAATATATTGTTGACAAAACTTGCCAAAATTATAATCACCTATTTTTTTTTTGTATCAAAGCCTATAAATTGATCAATAATAGGTAATTTAAATCACATATTTTTTCATCCTATCTATCTTATACATAAAGCTAATAATGACCTATCATATTTTTTTATTCAGTCAGTTTGATTTGCTGGTCCAACGAACTACAATTAAATTAAATTTTTATTAAATTGAACCGGTATAACCACAGTAAACTAAATTAATTAACTAAACTCATTTAACGAGTTTAATTTGAACTAATTAAATTAGTTTGGTTGGTTCTTGAATATATTCAATTGTAAAGTTCAATTACTAGTAGCTCATTTTTCTTTTTATTGGAAGTGGCATATTTAGAATAAGTAACTCAACACTTTTTTTTTATTTTCTCGTTTTAATTTTTTTTCTTCTTACACGCATTATAAAATAAGTTCGTTAAGAGACCATTTTTGTCTTTGAATATTATATTTATTTTAAAAGACTTGAACTGTGCAACAAGATAAAACAAGACTAAGTGCATAAGGTACTCAACAAAATCTAATTGGAAAGTTCTTACCCTTATAGTAAGATTAGTTTATTTATATAATGTACTCTCTTATGTTCTTTTACCTTTATACAGTATCAAAATGAGCTCGCTAAAATTTGTTTGCTTTCTACCTCTTCTCTAGTTGCAAATTAACCTATATCTAAATTATGAAACTCTCAACATCTAATCTTTTATTTAGTTTATTTTTTTGTGGTATTCAAAATATAATATATCATGATAATTATACTCATATAGTTATAACACTTTCACTAATCATAAAGTGTTATCTTCTCCGGTATTTTCAACCGTGGGGGTAGGAGATTCTTCTATCTAAATCGCATGATCTACATAAGTATGCCAAATATAATAGTAATATACTCATTCATTATTCCATAGTTAATGACTTTAAGCATTAGAATGATATATGAATTAAGAGATCTTAACATTGCATTAGTTGAAATGAAAATAAAAATATCAAACTCACAATTAATAAATATTGTATACGACTATATAAGGTTAAAAAAAATATATATAGTAGGTAACATACTAAAGTGAACCACCGTAATATACGGAGTACAATATTGACATTTAATTTTTGGACACGTAATAATTTACAAATTATACTCCATATTTTTTTAATAAAAAATTTGATTTATCCAAATGAAAAACAATAAAATAATTATTAAACATTGATAATTAGTTCAACTAACAATGTCTTATTTTAGATCGATTTATTGCATGCATGAATAACATAAATTTATCACATATTTTATTATTAAATATATCTAAAAATATGAAAAAACTAATATTTCTTTAGACCGATTACTTTATGTGTAAATATAAACATAGCTATTTGTATATTTCAAAATAAACAAATCTACATAAAAGAGGTCATTCTTGATGATACTTATATTTCAATTTATTTTATTTCGAAATAATAAATACTAACTTCTAAGTTCTGAGGCGTCGTCTCAAGGCCCATTTGATTGGCCCAAAGTGATCCAGCAGCCTCAAAACCCTAGCATGAAGAAGGGACGCTCCTATATCTAACACCCTGGCGGCAACTCTCTTATAAATTCCCTTCAAAACCCACTCATTTCCGCCTCTTTCGTTGCGCTCTGACTTCTAAACCCTAGCTCTCCAAAACCCTTACTCTTACACCTACGCCTTCTCCGTATCGATGGAGTTTTGGGGTAAGTGTTACTCTTCCCTTGTTCAACTCTATGATGAGGTTAAGTGTGTATCTCTTCTGCTTCTCATGTTATCACTGATATTTCTGATTAACTTGCTCCTTGTTACTTTCCTTATGTTTCCGTTCGTTGTTATCTCAAATGGTATTTTCATTTTATGTTTCTGCGTCACGTATCTTTGTTTCCGACCTTAAATGTATTTTTTACTCGATAACTGTGCCATGTTTTCACATCATAGACTCCGGAAATATGTTTTCACGATGAACAGAACGTATAACTTGTGCCCTCGTGTGTCGTAAGAGTAATATTTTTGAAGCCTTTTATTGTTTCCAAGGGTCATCGATTTTATATTTTTCTTGTATTGGTTTATGTGCTTTTCGAGATTAGTATTTGTCTATATTCTTGATCATTTAAGGAGATAAATATTAATCCCTCAAGTATCTCTGCTGGACTGGAAATGGAAATTTGTTTTGTTCATAATCTTACTTGAAGTATGAATGATGTGTTATTTTTGTTTGCCTCACTGTAATGATTACTTAACTAGACAAAAGCCTGAGGGAAAAATCATGAGTTTAAACTTTAATGCGTTTCTATTGTGTTGACGTTAGGGGGCTCCTATTTTTTTAAGACTTTTCCCAAAATGTCCTTAAAATCAGGCTGTGAGGAACCATGGAAAGCCTTTCCTTCGTTTCTGCAAGCATGCTTGTGCTTGCGTGTTTTGCCTTTATACTATTTGTTTCATCTTTTTATCTATTTCCAACACGAATCTATAAATTGATAGATGGAACTCCTATCTCTAGTGGGGACATGGAAATTGGAAGTATTTTGTTTTCAGCTTAAAATAGCCACCAGACTCCTGTTCAAATATTTCTATTCCAATATTGAGTTTTTGGTTCAATGTTAAGAATTTTTTGTTTCTATAAATGCTGAATAAGTTTGGTTTCTTAGTTTATTATTGTCGTGAAACAGAACTGACGAACCTACCGACAACTAACATCTGTCATTTAGTGTTCAAGTTAGTTTAGCTCAGTTTGTGAAATTTCTAGAACAAAAATTTGAGGTCATTGAAATAGCTTGTTACTGATGTTGTCAGCTTGCTAAGTAATTTTCAACAGAGTTGATTAGTCTGCTATTTTCCATGTTATTTTCTTTCTATGAGTTCTTATACTAATATTGAAATTCTCCTCAACCTAATAATCAGGAGTTGAAGTTAAACCAGGCAAGCCTCTTAAAGTGCAGCCTGATGAATTTTATCTTATCCATCTTTCGCAGGTAATCTATTCATTATCTGTTATTATTGGTAATTTGGTTCTTTGAACAGATTACTTGTAAGATTCATTCCAATATACTTCTATTGCTAGTGTTTTTGCCGTACATTTTAAATGCCTGAGATGCTCCTTTAATATAGGCATCGCTTGGGGAGTCAAAATCAAGTGAGACTGTACCCATCTTTGTTAAGGTTGGTGACCAGAAGCTTGTTCTGGGAACTCTGTCCCATGAACATAGCCCTCACATACCTTTTGATTTAGTATTTGACAAAGAGTTTGAGCTTTCTCACAACTGGAAGAGTGGGAGTGTTTACTTCTTGGGCTATAAAACTCCTTTCCCGGATGATGAAGGATATCCTTGACTACAGATATTTTGATAATGCCGTATCTATGAAATGTTTGATTTGTCTCTTGCTCTCTTTCTCTCACTTTTTTTTTTATATTTTAAATTTCCTTGACCCATCATGTTTTCTAATGCCACAAATGAGGAACTTTTTGGTGGTAAGTTATGGAATAGTTCT